CCCCAACACCACTGATCTCGGCGTCCAGTGTCTACTGGTCTGCGCAGTGAGAAGCAGCCAAAAACGCGCCAATTCGCAACGAAGATTTTCACCTTCACACTGCGCTTCACACTGCGACCAGTGAACGATAAGCTGCTAGAGAGTAGCAGCAGCCACAGCAGCAATTAGTCCGCCCTAAACTGCTGAAGAGCTGCGCACTGATCTGAACATCTCAAAGGAGCGCACATGGTCATTTTGCACTCGGCAAGCTGCTCTTCTCTTGGCGGTCAGGTCGGCAGTTACTCCACTGGCAGACATAATACTAACCGCGTGTAAGCTTTATTTGCGCCATTTCAAGGTCGCTGGCTAATTGAAGCACTGCCGCGCTGAAGGAGTAGTGTCTCAGTGGCGCTGAAGGAAGCTAAAGGAGAAAAGGAAGAAAGAGGAAGGAGGAAATACAGGCAAGGGGAAAGTGACTAGGAAAATATTTGAAGACTGTCGCAAGTGTTGGGACACTCTCGATGCTTGTTAGTGAGTGTGTGTGTGTGTGTAAGTGTGTGTCCAACAGGAGTGCCTGTGTGCGCAGTGTGTGTGCGTGAAATGGATGAGAGTGCAGTGCATTCAACTGCCGCTTTGCATATTGTGGAAGGGTTGCCCGTGGAAGCCTGTCCTGCCATCATCAGCTGTTCGTTGGTCATTGGCCATTCAGCTCTTCAGACTGTTACAGTGGGGAAGGTGGAGAGAGACCGGTGGTTAGTGGGACGTTGATTACGGCAAAGTTATAGAGAGATAGCAATGGGCACTTTGTATATAAAGTGGTTTTTAAATAAATAAATAAATAAAAAGCAAAATCATTCCCCGGAAAGGCATGTCCAACAAAAGAATGTCATTCAAATCATTTTATATCAAAACTAATAAGAGAATTTAGAGAGCATTAAAGTAAAAATAAGGTGAATTAGGAGCACAGAAAAAAAAGTAGACAGAGAGAGAGAGAGAGAGAGAGAGAGAGAGAGAGAGAGAGAGAGATAGAGTAGCTTTGTCCGGCTAGTGGTTTAACGGCCCGAGCAGAAAAGGGAGCAACGGAAGTGAAAGCAGGCAAGAAGAAAAGAGAGCAAGGCGAGCAGGTTCTGTTTGTTTGAGCCAGGTGTAATTTGTTTACATTCGTTTACCTAAGTTCTCCAATTCGGGGGACGTCTTCTCTTGACGCTTGCCCAGGCGGAAGCAGTAGATGTTAAAGTGTACACACATCTGCCGCACAATACAAATTCCGTAGTGCAGGTGGACTAGAGTGCTCAGTATGGCGTTAACTCGCAACAGTTGAAGCTCATTCTCCTTCAGGTCAACCAGAAGAGCGCCCAATGTTGACAGCGTCAGAGGCAGCAGCAGCCAGTTGAAGAGTTCACAGCGAGAAGATGACATCTGACTGACGATTAGGCGACACTGTTTGGAGGACAAGGGACCCGAATGAGATAGGAAGAAAAAAAGGACAAAGGAAAAACAAACCGCAATATTGGAAAAGACAGTGCCTACAATGAAGTAGAAAGTTCGGGGCTCCGCTTCCAAGACCTTATTGGGCGAACAGAGCGCCCAGATAGTTGTGACAGTGAACAGAATTACAAGTGAGACCAGAGGACGAAATGACTCCCAGAGGTTTGACTGTTTGGGGGTCTTGCAGCTGTAGACATTGTACACAGTGACGGGAACAGAGAAGAGTAGACTAGTGACTGTGATTAGAGGAGGAAAAGTTGTAAAGTAAATTAAATAAAATCACAGCAATCCACTTTCATTGGCCACTAACCGAAAGAGAGAACTTCAAAGATCTGTCCATTGGTGAGGCCCCAGATAGTGTACTTCCAGGTGCCGTAGCCGTTAAAGTAGGTGACCAGATAGAGCGCAAAGAGGCCAATTTGAGAGGCGTCGTAGCTCCAGGGAAGGTAGAGAATGCCGGTGTTGTACTTCTCCCAGTGAGAGAGGTAGAAGGTGATATAGATGGTCCAGAAGATGTAGAGCATGTGCAGCGGAGTCTGTGAGTAGTCGGCCCGGCCAAAGATGGAGTAAATGCAGAAGGGAATGAAGAAGGACGTCCAGCTGTCCATGCCGTGGTCCATCAGCTCGCCCAGCGGACCACTGGACTTGGTGCGACGGGCGTGCTTCCCGTCAATGCCGTCCAGCGTGTGCGCCAGAAAGTGGAAGACGGCGCACAGCAGCCAGACAATGGGCGGAATGGGCGGGTAGGCGGGGGCAGTGTCACTGGAGGCGAAGAACTGCCAGTCGTACACACTCAGCAGAAGGCCATTGCTGACGGTGAAGAGGAAGCCCACGGTGGTGAGCACATTGGGGGCCATCCACATGGGCACCACCTTGACGGTGAGATTCCAGAAGGGGTGCATAACATAGTTGCTCAGTGGGCTGGTGTCCTTCGAGTTGTACTGTTGTTTTGGGGAGGGGAAAAGGAAACATTTTGGGTAAATTAGACTACACAATGCAGGCAATCAATGCACATTTCCGCTATCAATCAACGGCGCAACGTGACCTAGTGTCCGAGTGCAATGTGCAAGAGATGCTGAAGAGCAACTGACATGCCATGGCAGCAGCACGAGCTCTCCTTATCATTGCGCCCTGCAGCGCGCGGCAAGAAATCAAACAAATCTTTTTCTTGTTATACAGTGGCCGATAAGTGTGAGCATCAGTGTCACTTAATTAGCCTACGGTGGGAAGAAACACTGGCTCACCACACACCAATGGGAGAGGATCCAAAGGGCAACCCCTCTCATTGCAAGCCATTCCTCTCACTTTCCCTCGCTCAATCATTGCTAAAAAGTGACACGTATCTGGCGTGCGTGGTCGTCGTCTACTGAGAATAATAACACTTTAAAGCCTCATTTGCATTGCCAGCGACTTGTTAAAAACGCTTACTGCTCGGTTAAACTTTTTTGCCTAATTTGCCTAAAGAACAAATAGATAGACAGAAGCAGTGATCCCTGACGTGGCTTTAAAAAGGAAAAGCGTCAGTGAAAAGAATAAAATTCTCTGCTGGCAGGCATTTCAAACTACAAAGTCCTTCACTTTCCGTAAAGGACAGCAAAAAATCGATAAATACAAAAGACATGTAAAAGGCAAAAGAAATGCTGCTGTAGAAAATAATAGCGGCGCGTTAAGATTTTGGAATAAGACGAAAACAAACCTTGTAATTTTCGAATCCCTTCAGATGGGTTCGGTCTAAATATCGGTAATTGAAGATGTTGCACATGTTGTTGAGAGGTTAATCGCACCAGTGGAACATAAACGGCCAATCTGAGAGCGATAGCTCAACAGTAAAAGAATTTGGAGCCTTATAACTTGATAACAATTGAAATGGTCGCCTAGACGACGAGGGAATGTTGCTGCCTCTTCAGAACCTCCTTACTACAGGTCCCCAGTGGCTGATCACTATTTGGTTCACAGTGTACAAAGTGTGCGGTCTCGGTGGTGTTCCTTGTTGTCGTTTGCGGTGGAATAGGTTGCAGCGCTGTAGCGTACAAGTCGAGTCGTCAACACCAGTTGGTGGTGCTGCTGCTGGTGTAATGTTGATGGTGGCCGCAAATCAATCGAATGAGTGGCTCCTTCACTTCAGATATCATATGTGGGTTCAGCTAAGCACTTCAGGCTGCAAAATCACATTAAAGACATATCCAGCTTCAAATCGGGTGACATGATCGAGGGCTGAGATAAACGAACGCTGGTGTGCGCTGGTACACCAGTCGTCACGGGGCAGCCAGGCAGCGGCAACACACTGAAACAGCGCCAATCCCAATGAATAAGGCTTTGATGATGACTTTTCCTATCTTCCCATCGGCGTGAGTTGTGGGCGACGACTAATGTGGCTGGCCACGACGCCTGCTCTTCATTATTGTCTACAACAACGTAAGTGGCTACTATAGAGCAGAGTCGGTGCGATTTACTACGATCTTGAAGGAAAACAATTGGCAGTAGAGATAGTGATTCACAAAGAAAGATAGACGATGATCAGTGATCACAAATGCGAATGCTTCGAGATCAATGGTGCAAAGTTCAACTACTTCAAGCGTACACACTGATGAAGGGCTTCAATATTCAATATTCAAGGCTAGTGTCGCCGGGCTGGTCACTTGGTGTTAGCACGCTTTTACTAGCTGATCAAAACACGATTACACCAGATGACTAGATGATCAAGCTGGAACGCCGCTACGATTGTTATTAAGACAACTCATAGAAACGGACAATTCTCCGAAACTTTTTGCGGATTTTTGGGTGAGTCACTTTGTTATGACTGTGGGAAAAAGTCATATCGGTGTTGCCACGAAGTGACAAACAAAAACTCATTTTGAATCATCAGGTTTAGACTTGTTTTCGCACCAAAAATTGTGTACTTATTGTCAAATTTTGTTTGAAAATTGTGTTTCATCATGGACCCTGCTGTTCATCTTCTTGTTCAAAAAGACTCTTCTGGTTACTTGACCGAAAATTCAGTTAAAGCTTTATCTAACAAGCGCGCTCAACTTCGAAAAATTATCTTCAAATGGGAACGCGAAGGTCGCTTTGGCATAACGCCGCCTTTAAATGAGTTTGAACAAGTTCGTAGTCAAATAATGGACATAGACTTTTTACTAGTCGATGCTGAACAAACTGAGGACACCGCTGAATGTGAACGTTGGGATAGCAAATTAGCGTTCATCTACAACAACATAAACAGCAAACTGGTTAGTTCGGTTCAGCAAAATGGAAATCATCAAGTAAACCCTCCGGTGAACCATTCTTCTCTTCCTGTGCATCCTGCTCCTACATCAGGGCCTTCAACATCACAACCTGTCTTGGGATCACATGCCAGTTCAGCATTCTCACCGCTGGTCATTCCAGATTTCGAAATGCCCGATTGCCAATATATGGAACCAGGAAACAAATTACAAGTTGAATTTAACTGTGACAGTAATGGCAACCAACCTCAACCTTCTTTTTCGAAAGTCAATGCCTATGCGCCGTCGGATGAAGATGATGTCACCCCCTGTTTAAATATGCCTGATTTTCTTCAATTTGACCGGCTTTCAGGGAAGTACGTTTTTCATATTGGTCTTTTTGACTTTGAAACACCTATCGCCAAGAAAAAGCTTCAAGACGAAAGTGTAGTAAATGCATTTGCTTGGGCTCAGTTTAATAAGACAACCTCCGATATTATATCAGACTTTTACAAAGTCCTAGCTATCTACTACAAGCACGGACTCTCTCCAAAATTTCGCCGAAACTTCTGTGCTGCTATTGCGTTTAACCTACCTTTGATGGAGAAAAAGTATACTCAGATAAGAGAGTTATCTGCACATGGAAGTCTCAGCCCTGATCTAAGCGACACTGTCAAGGCAATAACTTCTTATTCAGTAAGTAATTGTTGTGTAACTCTGATTTTTGTATTAATTATTTGTTGCATTTATTACATTAGGATCTGTTATTTTCCCGACTTGAAAAGCATTCCCGTTACCAGTTGAAAAAACTGGCAAAGAAAGAAGGATTTCAACTAAAAGTGAAGAAGCGAAACGGCTACTCTGTTGCTGAGAACAACCGAAAACGCAAACGCAAGAAAAAGGCAAAAGAGTAGACAAAATGCTTTCATCTTTTTACAATACTTACATTATACAATACTTTCGCACATTTTTGTACATACAGGCTTTATACAAAGTTATTAAATTCTGATACTCGAAAAATATTACTTTCCGGCGAAGTGAAACGGTTTTACAGCGAAACCATTGACCTGGAGGACCCGCCTTTGCAAAAGAGTTGAAAACATGTCTGCTCGCACGGATGTCTGTTTTGTTCAGCAGCTGTTTTGGAAAAAATGTGTTTTGCCGGTTGTTGTCTGCTGCTCGTAAACAGGCAAGGTCCAGCAGTCATTGAGTTCTCTCTTTCGGCTACCTCCCCGCTGATCCAGCGATACCACCACTGACACTGGCACTGGGGCGACAATGTCCTTTCCTCGTAAAGAACAACGAACCAAGTGCTACTTTGCTCGCGACCAGTACTGGCAGTGCTTGGACCAAAACCAAGACAAGGACGAGGCGACGGCAAATGGGCTCTGCGCCAAGTTCAAAGACGCCTTCGAGGCGGACTGCCCTTCGCAGTGGGTGACGCATTTCGTGAGAAAGTACAAGTACCTCAAGTTTAAAGAGAAAATGGAGGCAGGCTATGATCCGCTGGAAGACAACAAGAGCAACAGTGATAAGTGACCCTTGTGCAATCTCATCGGTTTTGTAAGTAATAGCTTTTTGTATTTTTCGTAGTTTCTGAAACCAATGTTACTGAATCAATCTGTTCAATCTGATTGTCAACATTTTACTTTGTACACATTACATGTTCTGAAAAAAAGAATAAAACACGCAGCTCAAGCACTGGTGTTTGGCGGGCCATTTAAAATTCGAAGGCTTGATAAGGTCACATCAAAGAGAGTCGATCACCACCGACCCGTATTGCAGAGTTTTGGGGACAAGTAAGTAAATAAATAAATAAATAGCTGAGGCAAGATAAGTAAAATATCAATCATAAGTCGAAAATAAATAGATCTGATTTGAAAAAAGGAAGGGCTGCAAAGAGAGGAGGGGGGATGAAAGGCGCTAGGAGACGGACCACTGCATAATACTCGAATCGCGACCGCCAAGACTAATGACCCGACTGTCATCGGAGAGGAAGCGCACGGCGGCGGCGGTGACACTGTGGCCTGGATATGAGTGGTGCAGGCACTTGGGCTGACAGGCGGGGTAGGAGAAGAGGTTCAGTCGACCGAGGTTGTCCCCCGTCACCAGCAGTTTGCCGGAGTGAGAGCGGTCGGCAGAGCAGACGTCCGGACCGTCGTAGTTCTCCGGCCAGATGCCGAAGACGTTGAAGCCGAATACTGAGTTGTGAGTGCTGAACTCGAGGTCTCGGGCAATGGCCATGTTGTTCAGCTGCCGGCAAATTGTGGCGTTCCAGAAGAGGTGCTCATTGCCCGCCGAAGTCGACTGTATGTACGTGTTGCTGATGTCCCAGTCTGTAAGAAATGCAAAGGAGAACAAGTTGCGGTCAAGCTGATTTGTGGAAAGAGGGGACCTTCAATAGACTTACCAATGTGTGTAATGTACGCTGAATGTCCGGAGCATCGACCAATGCGATTAAACTTGCGATACTCTTCGCTGACGAGGTATATGTAGATGTTATTGTCGCGTGAACCGAAAGCCAGATACCGTCCGTCAGGGGAGAACTTGATGCACTCGATGACGTCGGCGCCGTCACTGTGGATGGAGATCAACTGGCGCGTCGTCGCGTCAAAGACGATCCACCGACCGACGGTGGTCGTGCTGATGATGATGATGCTGCCGTCAGGCGAAAAGGACGCCGCCTGTGCGCTCTCTCCAATGTCCTTGCTCCAGACGACCAGGTGCGCCATCGAGTCCCACAGGTGAACTGCCTTGTCGTAGCCGGCGGTCAGAAATTGGTTCTGCGTGGGATGCGTCGCCAGGGCGCATACCTCTTCGGTGTGACCCTGTGAGGGAGAGAGGGACAGAAAGTGAAGGTGATGATGATGAGGGACTTGACAGAAGCACTGCACTCCATTTTCGTACCTGAATGACCAGAGAAAAGTTGAGCGTCATTGTCCCCTGGAGTATGCAGTTCTTCGTCGTGCCGACAATCAACATCGACCCTTTACCGGTGGTCAGCGTGCGCACGCCACCAAATTGGTCAGGAAGCTTAAGATGAGATAAGGTGTTCGTTAGTTGAACCGTGAACACTGCTATACCATGCCTTCACTTGCCTTTGCCTCCCTTCCAGTGCGATTCATGTTGGCGTCCCATTCAATGATTCGCTTGTCTTTTCCACCTCCCGAGACAACTTTGCCGTCTTTAAGTGTGCAAATATCAAAGATTGAGCCATCGTGTGCATTGTGAATTGTGCGGACGATGCGGTTTGAGCTCTGATGCCAGATGGTAATGTTGCCGTTGGAGTCGCCAGTGAGCAGTTCGCCCATGTCATTGTAGGCCAAACAGAGAATGTATTTCGGCTTTTCCTGCTTCTCAAACATGCCAATCTTCTTCTGCAGTGTGCCCCCTTCAACGTCCCAGAAGAAGATGTGACCCTTGCCGATGCTGATGAGCGTGTACTTCTCCATTGGATGGAACTCAATTGCCAGGACAGCATCACAGGTAGACTTCGACTCTGACAGTCGATGGCCATTGGAGCCCTTCTGCCACTCCCACAGTGAGACTATGTGGTCGTTGGACTCGTCGACGGCACACAGCAAGTTGCCGCCGTCGAGCTTACTGAAAGCCAAACAGCTGATGCCGCGGTCGAACTCGCCATTCTGACCGATAATGTGCAAGGTGTTTAAGCTGACTGAATCCCAAACTCGTATGTGAGGCCTCTTTTCGAAGCGACTGTAGTNGTTGGACTCGTCGACGGCACACAGCAAGTTGCCGCCGTCGAGCTTACTGAAAGCCAAACAGCTGATGCCGCGGTCGAACTCGCCATTCTGACCGATAATGTGCAAGGTGTTTAAGCTGACTGAATCCCAAACTCGTATGTGAGGCCTCTTTTCGAAGCGACTGTAGTAATGAGGTAAAAACAGTCCAATAAAAAACGGCAGTTTACCTACTTTTCATTTACCTTTCGTTGTTGGCCAGTGTCTGCCCGGTAGCAATGAGCAGACGATTGGGGTGAATCGTGAGGCAGCGAATCTCACCCGTATGTCCATTATAGTGTCGCTGGATTTGATCGTCGATGTTGTAGAGCACAACGACGGCAGCTATGAAGAAGACTATCTCACCGGTGGGCAAAAGGTACAAATTGTGTCGGCAATCCTTTCCACGGTAGCCATATCTGTGGCCGTCATGGTGGTCAGT